TCCTTTGGATAGATAAATAGACAGTTATGTGACCTTTTGGGAAGTACTGATCAGTTCATGGAAAATTTCCTAAAGTTGCTGTTGCTCGCCCTAAAGAGAAAACCTTTTTTTCATTTTTTAAATTCGAATTCAACAAGATAGTCAAGTGGGTGATCTTTCTTTTGTTGCATTACGTTTTATTTCGGGGCAGATTAAATTTAGCAGTGAATAATTTTCTGAAAGTGGGGGTTTCAGAGTGAGGATTGTCAGTGTATTCGTTTAATATATATGTTACCGTCAAACTGCGAAATCCGGCATTTTGCAAAATGACCAATGCAGCAGGCAAAGTGAGAAATGGAAGTCGACTTCGCACTTCGCCTGCCTCTTTTTAGGGATTTCGCGAAATGCCTAAACATTCAGGCAAAGTGAGAATTCTCGGTTATTTTCCACAGATTGCGCGTACAGCTGTACCAAACGTAAAACCGTCGCGTTAGTACCTTCCCCCATTTGATATATTCTCCACAGTAAATCCAAAGCGTGACTCGACAGAAAACCCATAGAAGAAATGCAGTCTAAACGTGAGCGCAATATTTAGCTACTTAAATTAAATCGCAATCGTCGCGTCGTTTACCATCCAATGGCAACGCTGTATGCGCATTCTGTGGGAAATGACGAAGCTTTCGCACTTTGCCTGCATGTTTAGGCATTTCGCGAAATCCCTAAAGAGAGGCAGGCAAAGTGCGAACTGCAGCTCCGTTTCTTACTTTGCCTGTTGCATTCGTCATTTCGCGAAATGCCTAGGCATTTTGCAAAATGCCGGGTTTCGCAGTTTGCCGGTAACATATATAATGCTAATATCTGGAAATGGCAATACCTCCTTTTTATTGTACCTGGCACCACTGTTATATGTGATCAATCAGGTATGCCAATTTATGGTTAAACATTCCTTTAAAAATTGTGTAAGAATGAAAAAAGTGACCAAAAATAATGCGGCAATGAAACTCATTCCAGCAACAAAATCATTCCCAGAAGAACGAGTTATATACGAAACAGAAAATTACGACATTCACGTTCATCCACTAGTGTCTTTAATTATTATGCATTATGTGCATCAGGTTTATATCTATGAAAAAGACTATACTTACTGGGTTATTCCACACAATGTATTGCTTCCAGGCGATGAACAAATCTTATTCCATCACAATAAAATAAAAAATTAACAGTTGGTATGTAACAATTAAACAATAACGTGATGAACTGACCTTAGAGCTTAGAACTTTCCCGCACATTAACGCGGTATAATATGATAATTTATGCAGTGTTTTTGTTTGCCTATGCGAAAACCATAATTCCAATGATGCATAGTTTTGTTGCGGTAAAACCTCACCAAAATATTAATACAGTAAATTAATAATTTATTGTAATTATGGTAACAATGTGTGGTTTTCATTTTCCAGCCGCTCCGTTTTAATGAAAAGTTTAAGAAAAACCATAATTAAATTAATCTCATTGGGGCGTATGTGGTCCGGTTAGTAGGTAATAATTAAAGGTTTGACGTGCGACAGGCCGGGAACTTTAATGCCTTTCTGTCTCATTAATCTTAATATTATGCAAACAGTATTTCCAACAGGAAGCTTCATTTCTTATTCCAAAATTGTACAAAGGCATGTAGGTATTTTATAGCAAAGCTACGTACATTTGCATAAAAGTACGAGCCCAACACAGTCAAGTAATCATTTCTTATGGTTTTTCCACCTCTCTGCCATTAGTCAGGGGATTAATTTAGACGCGGTGTTTTGGGTAAAATTTAGAAGAACGCATTATACGCCGGATATGATAATTTGCTCTTTTAGATAACGCCTTTAGAATGTTGTATGTTCCCTTCACCCCTTAAAACATTTCAAAGTAGCGTCGATTTTGTTTTTGTTGGGTAAAGTTTTTAAGAATCTATGAATACCAAATCTTTCAATACGAAATCGGCAACGTTTATTATTATGCTTAATGCTCACCTCATTTTTAATTCATCGGGAAACTACCGCATGCCATTATAAAACCATTAAAGTTGCTTCAAACAAATTTCTAGTTCAGAAACAAAAATTTACATATTTACCACATATTTACATAATTTGTGAGCAAAGTATATGGCATATTTTTAAAGGTAGGTAGGTAGCTTTTTAGACCTCATAATTTAATAATATAGGTTATAGATAAATAAAATTTCATTCATTACTAAAACTGGGTATGGCATTGTTGCACAGTAACCAAATTGAGAAAATTGTAGTACTGGAGACTTTACCGTGTTTACACCTGAGAAAGTCCGAAGTCATTCTTCCTGTAGAAATAGAGCAAATTGTTCGATGGAACCAATTATGATAATTGGAAGTTTCGGGTGGAGACGCACTTGGAGGAGCTTGAGTGTCTGGAATATATTGAGAGCTCACTTTCTGATTTACTGGCAAAGGTGGATGAAACAGAGTTATCAACGGACCAAAAGCAATGTGCCAAGGAACTTCACAAAAAGCGAGATAAGAAATCTAAGTCAGCAATAATACAGAGAATTGAAGATAATCAACTTGAACATGTTAAAGATTGCAAAACTGCTTTCGAAATTTGGGACACTTTGAGTAAAACCTTCGTTAGAAAAGGTATAGCTAGCCAGTTATTAATTCGAAAAACTTTGCTAACCATGAAATTTAATTCGAGTAATGAAACCATGGAATCTCATTTCTTGAGATTTGATAAATTGATTAGAGATCTCAAGTCTACCGGAGCAAATCTAGAAGAGACTGATGTAGTGTGCCTGTCGAATACGATGTTGTTGTGACAGCGATTGAGACCTTGTCTACAGAGAACCTGAAATTGAGCTTCGTCAAAAATAGACTCCTGGATGAGCAAGCGAAGAGGTTAGGTGTTCGACACGAAGGAGAGCCCTCATCGTCCAACGCATTCTCAGCTCAATCGCCTGGGCCCGAGAAGTGGAATTCATCGAAGGGGAAGTCCAAACAACTCAAGAAGAATTTTGATAGAAAGAACTATCGGTGCCACAACTGTGGTGAATATGGACATTTTCGACGGGAATGCAGGAAGCCACCAAAGGACTCGAGCAAGTTCCAAAAGGAAGCACACGTTGCAGCTGACTCGGGGGGAGAGGAAGAAGAATTTAGTTTTTTCGCTGGAAGAGCTAAAACTGAAACTAATTGTAGATTGTAGATCCAAAGTCCTATGATGGAATCCGCTACGTACTGACCCTTATAGACGACTTTACACACTTTACGGTTGCCTACCTCTTAAAGTCAAAAGGGGAAGTGTTTCAAAAGCTTAAAATTTATGAAGCCATGGCCACACGAACCACTTCAATCTGAAGATCTCACGATTTAGATGCGACAACGGTCGGAAGTATCTTTCTACGGAGATGAAAGAGCACTTTGAGCAACGTGGAATCCAATTCGAATTCACAATCCGTCATACCCCGCAGCAGAACGGAGTTGCAGAGCGGATGAACAGGACAATTCTGGAAAAGGCGAGATGTATGCTTTTGGACTCATCCTTGCCGAAGAATCTTTGGTCGGAAGCAGTGCTGGCAGCGATCTACTTGATCAACAGGAGCCCGACAAGTGCCCTGGAAAAGGCTGTTCCTGCAGAATTGTGGTACGGGAACAAGGTCAACCTGAGGAAACTGAAAGTCTTTGGCTGTAAAGCCTATCTACACCTACCTAAGCCACTCATTAGAGGGAAGTTCAGCCCCAGATCTAAGGAGTGCTTCATGATTGGGTACTGCAACAACGGCTACAGACTATGGTCACCGGAGGACGGAAAGGTGCTTAGTGGATGTAATGTCATTTTTGATGAAACATCGCGAAGGCAATTCCCGGGAAGACACGAAGCAGATTTTTACAACGGTGTAGAACCAGCAAACGATACCGCGACAGGAGGAGAAGACGCAGCGCATGATGTCAGGAATTTACCCCCTCCACCACCTACGGCTCAAGAAGAAGAGGAGCACCAGGAGTATCACAACGGTGACGACGCCGAGCCACCCCAAGAGAAGGATGTCGCAGGGAGTTCAGAATTGAGGAGGAGCATAAGACCCAAGAAGGCGCCCAAGCGGTTTGACGACTATGTGGTTTTGGCCTTGACTGCTGAGACCTTCGTTGAAAATCTATCAATGTCGTACGCAGAAATTCATGGAAGAGAAGATGCAGCACATTGGTACGCGGCAGTTGAGGAGGAGCTGGCAGCTCTCGAAGAGAACGCGACCCGGTCTTTGGTACTTCTACCCACAGGAAAAAGGGCAATAAACAACAAGTGGGTCTTTAAGCTTAAACGAGATGAAGATGGCAATGTTGTACAATACAAAGCTCGTCTAGTCGTAAAAGGCTGCTCCCAACGCCAGGGATTCGATTTTGACGAGGTATACGCCCCAGTTGCTAGGTTGGACACGCTGAGGGCACTCCTAGCAGTTGTAAACAACCAGGATCTCTACACAAGACAGATGGACGTGAGAAATGCGTTCTTGCACGGCAAGCTGAAGGAGGAGATATATATGCAGCTACCTGAAGGCGTCGAAGACCAATCTCGTCTGGTTTGTAAGCTAAATAAAACGCTCTATGAGTTGAAGCAGGCTCCTAGAGCATGGAACGAAGAGTTCGACACGTTTGTTCAGTCACTTGGATTTGTTCAATCTGAATATGATAAATGTCTTTACAGAATGTTCTTCGAATGACAAAAGATTTACCTCCTTATCTATGTGGATGACATCCTCATGGCAAGCAGCAGCCAATCAACACTAAACAAAATTGGAACCCTCTTTCAAGAGAAGTTTCGCATGAAAGATCTTGGACAACTTCGGATTTTTCTAGGTATCAAAATACACAGATCAGAGAGAGGAATGATGCTGAGTCAACCAACCTATCTACAAAATCTTCTTCAACGTTTCGGAATGGAAAACTGTAAAGGTGGATATCAAACCTCCAGCGGACACCGACGGTGAGTCCATTATCGAGACCAAGCCTTATCGGCAAATGATAGGATGTCTGATGTACGCGATGCTGACTACGAGGCCGGATATCAGTGCTGCTGTAAACTTCTACAGCCGATTTCAAAATCATGCAACTGAAGAACAATGGAACGGACTGAAGAAAATACTGAGATATATTCAACAGACCAAGGATATTGGACTGTTCTTTCCAAAGCAACAATCAGAGGCACTAGTTGGATATGCTGATTCGGATTGGGGAGGAAATACAGACCGCAAATCCATCTCAGGCTACATGTTCCAGGTCCTAGGTTCTACCGTTAGTTGGACGACGAAGAAGCAAGCCACGGTCGCTTTGTCCTCTACGGAAGCAGAGTACGTCGCCTTAGCTTCGGCAGGCACTGAGCTAATCTGGCCGAGGGGTCTTCTCAAGGATCTGGGAATCGATTGTTTGCAGCCCATCACCGTCTACGAGGACAATCAAGCGTGCATTCATCTGCTACAACGATGGCAGCACAATCGACTGAAACATGTCGATGTGAACTACAACTTCATCACATGTCACGTTACCTACATCTGCACGACTGTCGCGGATATCCTTACCAAGGGACTCAGTAGGAGGCAATTTGAGAATTTAAGACAGAAATTGGGACTTCAACGTTAATGAATTTTTTTTATTTATGTCACACAACTTGAAACTGCCGGATTGAGGAGGAGTGTTGTAATGGCAATCACTTGCAGTTTAAGTGACGTCACAAAAAGTAGTATACACACTGTATATACGTTAAGAATATGTCTGTTTTTATGTGTGGAATAAAATCAAGTTTTTTTAGCAATCTCGCGTGTATTAATTAACTCGGCTACCTCTGAACACGCAAACATTGTGCACTTTAATATAAACTACAACGCGATAATGTTTACTGGTTTATAAATACCTTGAACGTCTATTGTTAATCTGCACCAGGATTCGGAATGCAGTCTGGGTCTCGCTCCGATCGATGTTGAAAACCAATGTACTCAGGACCGCCCACTGCAAGCAACTATTCGAGTTTCGGTTCGGCCAATCACAGGCAGGCAGGTTTCAACGCGACTTTTTCGACACCCTCCTAGAAGACTGTGCACGGACCGCGCGGAAAACAGAAAATGTGTTACGACGACTAGGAGAGGGGTTGCAACTTCCACCCCACCATCCACTAGCGCCCTATTGGCCGCGTCGCCAGACGCCTCTACCGGAAATCGTTTATAAGCAGCGCACCGACAGGGGAACTTCACTTGTGCCTGGGCAAGCCTACCTTACCCTACACAAGCGACTGAGGCTGGTCGCTTGGGCTCAAGTACCGTCTCCGCACGCCATCACTTCCCGGCTTGACCGTAGTCAAGTCCGGCGCCATCCCACGTGCCAGAAGCGATCTTATATATGTACATATATCCTCTGTATTATTTGTAAATATTGTGTAATATACGTTTTCAACCTCCGTTTGCCACTTACGTTACCCCGCCCGGTAACAATTGGCGCCCATACGTGTGAGTCAACCAGCAGCATCGCGCTCTGAGGATCTACGCCCACGCTCCCGCGACAGCCGACGCGCAACACCATGAATACGAGGAGCAGGAACACCCCGACGTCCAACTCCGGCGCCGACGAAGGTATCGACACTCAAACAACGGAGATGACCCCGGCAATCAACCCCGGTCTGGACCCGGCAACCCCGTCCAGTGGCGCCCAACACTCTCAACACACCCTCGACATGCTAAAGGCGCTGACCGACGCCCTCCAGAACGCGCAGATAACCGCATCACCGGACCTACCGACCTTCAGCGGCGACCACCTGGAGGACCCAACAGTCTTCTTCAGCACGCTCGAGCAGACAATCCAAACCACCGACCCGGCGGAAAAGTTAAAAACAGCAGCAGCACAACTAAAAGGGGAGGCTGCGAAATGGTGGAACAGTTACGAGGCATTTTCACCGACATACAACGACCTAAAGAACTACACCCGCGAAAAATACGACAGCAGCAAGATTCGCGGGAAGATGCAATCAGAATTCTTCGGCCGAGAACAAGGAGCAGAGTCGCCGCAGCAATTCCTCCAGAGGAAGGCACAGCTAGCAAAACGGCTGAAGATCCCGATCGGCGAGCACCTCGAGCTACTGAGAGACCTGCTGCACCCACGCATTAGAGTAGCCTTTTTAACCACAACACCCACTTCACTCCTCGACTTGGTGCGTCACGCCGAGGAAATCGAAAACTGCAACAAAGCGCTACCTCGAAACAACCAACCCAGACCATCGCCACCAACCCCCGCCGACAGACCTCCCAACACACCAAAGTGCCACCACTGCCCGGAATATCACTTCCACCGAGACTGCCCAGTACTGACCCGCCGCCGAGACCAGGGAAACGGGGCAGCGGTCGGGAACAATGCCCGGCCGTCCACCTAATCCAGACTGCGACCCGACCCAACCTACCAACGCTGGCAGTCAAGGTACGCGGAAAAAGCGTAAGAGCTCTCCTCGACTCCGGATCATCCCATAACTTCATCCAGAAGGAGCTCGCGTGGAAAATCCACCATAGCAACCACCAAACAGCCGGCCTAGCGAACCCCCGCCATCAGCTGGAAGTCATCGGCACATCCAGAGTCGAGTACACGCTCAACGACAAGCAAGAATCGGACGACTTCCTGGTGACACCAAACCTTGTCGTGCCCATGATCTTGGGACAGAAGTGGCTCCAAGAACATCGAGCGGTGCTGGATTACGAGAGAGCGTGCATCCACTGGGGAACCCATACAAGGCAGACAACACACTGGGACCAAGCTCCGAACCGCGGCCCAACAACGAGCGACTCCATAAACTTCGCCGGAGTCAAGCACGGGTTCCAACCACCACTCGATCGACGCCTGGCCACACTGCTGGAAACTTTCGGTAGCACACTTGCCGATCCTGCAACGCCCACAACAACAGCATCCACCACACATCGCATCCGAGTCACCAAAACAACGCCCTTCCGACTTCCGCCATATCGACATTCGCCAAACAAAAAGAAGGTCATCGCGGATGAAGTGGAAGCTATGTTAGCAGCGCAGGTGATCGAGCCCAGCACGTCCGAATATTGCTCGCCCATCGTCATAATTCAGAAAAAAGACGGCCGCCCGAGATTCTGCATCGACTACCGTCGTCTAAACGCCATCACAAAAGACGAGAGCACCAACCTGCCAGTCATACAGGAGACCCTCCGAGACCTGGGGACGGCCAAAGTTTTTTCCAGCCTGGATCTCAAATCAGGCTACTGGCAGGTGCCGCTAGAGACGGAATCCCGACATCTCACCGCGTTTTCAACCCCTGATGGAGCGAGTTATCAATTCAAAGTAATGCCGTTCGGGCTCAAGAATGCACCTGCTACGTTCCAGAAGCTAATGACCCAGGACGTTCTCGCCGGGTATTTACGGAAATTCGTCATGGTATACCTGGATGACATAATAATCTACTCAGACTCCTGGGACGAGCACCTCAAACATCTACACCTCGTGCTGGAACGACTGCAACGCCACAAACTCCGCTTGTCCCTCGAAAAGTGTCGCTTCGGGGTGCAAACGATCCAATACCTGGGCCACAACATCACGGCGAACGGGAACCGCCCGTGCCAGGAACACATCGAAGCAATCCGGACCGCAGACCGGCCCACCTCGAGGAAGAAGCTAAGAAGTTTTCTAGGATTGACCAACTGGCTACGAGAGTACGTGCCCCGGTGTGCCGAATTACAAGCACCGTTGGATAACTTACTAACAAAGAACACCCCTTTCCGATGGACAGCGGCAGCCGACGTCGCCTTTAGCCAGTTAAAAGCAGCACTTAGCAAACCACTCCAACTCAGCCGTCCGGACTTCGCCACTCCATTCGTGCTGCAAACCGACGCCAGCGAAAACGGGATTGCGGCCGTACTCTTTCAAGAACCCCACCCCGGAGAGAAAAAAATTATCAGCTACGCCAGTGCCAAACTTAACCACGCGCAGAGACGCTACCATATCAACGAACAGGAGTGCTTGGCAGTAGTGTGGGCCATTAAACGATACCGGCCATATCTGGAAGATAGACGTTTTACGTTGAAGACAGACAGCCGCGCTCTCCTGTGGCTGGATCGCACAAAAGACGAAAAGAGCAAGCTAACTCGTTGGGCATTACGGCTCCAAGAATTTACATTTGATGTGGTCCACTGTCCGGGGAAAGAAAACGAGCTTCCAGACCACCTGTCCCGCCACCCATCAGCAGAAGAAGCCGAAGAAGCCACGGCAGAAGACGTAAACCGCATGCTGCCACCTACGACCACACACGAGTCCAAACAAACCAACAGCACCCCGGTAATCGCGGCAGTGGAAGTGGCCAATTTGGCGGACCATGTGAAGGAGTGCCAAAAGACAAACGAAAACGCCATCGTTCTGGTACGCACCTGGCACAGGATACAGCAGGAAGGACCAGCGACACCAGCACAAGCAAGGTTCAACCGGGATTACACGGTGGACAACGGTTACCTCTACCGCAAAGCACCCCAAGGGAACCTACTCGTAGTCCCCTGCAGCCTTCAACCAGCGGTACTAGAAGCGTACCACAACGCAGCCACAGCTGGACACCCAGGAGCCGAAGAAACGGAACGGGCCATAATGACACATTACCACTGGGCGAAACTGGGAGACACGGTGCGGAATTATGTACGAGCATGTTGGATTTGCGCGGCAGTCAAAAGAGGCCCGGTCCAGGACGCCACCGTACGCCCACGCAAACCCACACGACCCTGGGAAGCGGTTTCCGTAGACTTGATGGGCCCCTACGACGCCACACCTACAGGCTACCGCCAGATAGTCGTGATCACGGACCTCTTCAGCATGTGGGTGGAGGCATTTCCAGTAAAGGAAGCAGTCGCTCCAACAGTGGTCAGAATCCTGGAACACGAGGTATTCGCACGCTATGGTTTCCCGAGAGCGATCATCTCAGACAACGGACCGCAATTCACATCAGTGACATGGGACGCGGCACTTCGGAAGTGGGGAGCAATTCACTGGACGACGCCCATATGGCACCCGCAGGCGAACCCCGTCGAACGCCGGAACCAAGAAATCAAAAAGGGCCTCCGCACTCATCTGGTGGGACAAAGCCCCAGCGCCTGGGCGGCCGTACTACCCATTGTCATGTTCACGTTACGTACGAGGAGAAACGCCGCTACTGGACTCACGCCGAGCCACGCGCTGCTAGGCTACGACCTACCCAGGCCAGGAGAGTGGAAAGCCAGGGATCGACCACCTCCACCGACAGGAGAAGCCCGAGAGGAGGTCGTACAGACGGTGCACAGGAACCAGGCACGATCCCGCAGCCGGTACGCGAACTACGGGCCAGCCCGCACCCAGTACCAAGTAGGCGACGGAGTGATGGAAAGATCCAGGGACCAACACTCCGGGAACTTTCACATGAAGTACACAGGTCCCTACACCATCGAAGCGCTGGCGGGCACAAACGCGTACTGGATAAGGCGAGGAAACGAACTGGTAAAGGTGCACGTACACGATCTACGCCCTGCACCCAACCAACCCACCCCGGCACCAGTACCGGAACTTCCGCCAAGAATCATTTCACCGACGCCACCACGGAACCAACGACAACCCCGTCACCGCCG